TGTATATTTGTATTTTGAATATTTTAAATGTTTAGACTAAGTGTAAACTTGGAATTTATCAGCATTTTTGGTGTTTCTAAGTATTTATACTGAATTAAAAAAATATAAAAAATCGTATCAATTATTATTCGTATTAATAGTATTATTATTAATAATTATCCATTTGTTAATATTGTGTTTACGTTGCTATGCAGCATACCTTATTTGAATATTATTTACTAATGATTTTCAACCTAAGATTTTCTAGCTTATCCATAGCTCCACTATGTGTGAGTGTTTCAGTCAGTTGTATGAAAGTGCCTGGGGTTTATCTGCGCGCATATCCTTTAGGTCTCTGTGGTATAATGGATATGACACTCGCCCAGACACCGAGAGGTTGCAGGTTCTAATCCCGTCATATAGGCATTTTTTCATACAACTGAATTAAAAAAGAAATTTTCATTGAAGCTTGGTATGATATAACATCTTGTTCCTATTTGAGCACTTTTATTGTTATTTATTCGTTTGTTTTGTCTCTTCATTTTCTCTTTGAATATATTTTTATTTAACATTTAGAGTTAATTGTGTATTTGTTAATTGTTTAAAGGTGGTCAAAGGAACATGATATGATTATCAAAACTGAAATGCGCAAGGAGGATATATCTAAAATTGTCGAACAATCCGATGTTGTGCTTAGGTAGGTCTTGGTGGTATCAGATCAAATAGACATATGCAAACATTTAGTAAAACAAGACATGCTAAGTTAAGGTGGTTGAACGCAAACGGCTCTATTTAAAAAGAAAAACTACATTACATACCGGTAGCAATCGTTGGTTGAAATGGTTTCAATACAAAAACACACAAATACGTTTGGCTAAAATGATATAACAAATATCATTAATATCAATTAATTAACAAAAACAAACTGCGGTGTCTTAAAGTGTGGTGGTGGGCCTTTCCTCATTCGATCTTATTTCATGCTATATACCCGTACTTTTGGAGTCTTTAAATGTTCGGCCTAACCCTCAGCTGCTATCAGTTATAACCTGTTCTCCGTGGAGTACAATTTTCATAAAAAGGGAAATATCTCCCGAAGTACTGCTAACCTCACCACCAAAAGGACCACCTCACTTTAAACAAGTCTCTGGACTTGGAGGATTAGGCTATACACTTGGTACGTGTGATTCACATAAAACGGCCTGTCATTTCAGTTATATTCTGTATAATAAATTCATTAGTGCTATTTTCTCATAGGGAAGGCTGCGACATGTTATTTAAAAATCTAGCGGACAACAGTGTACCATTGGTTGTGTGTACCGCCGGCATTGAAGACATTTCGAGTGCAGTGATTACAGATCGAGCTACTCTGTATGACAATATATCTTTTATGGGCAACAAAATGGACTTCGATGCAAATGTAAGTTTTTTAAGGTGGTGTTGTTCCAGGGTTCTTATAGGCTTTGTGTCTGCTATGTTTCCGACCTATCAAGTCTCTCGCATTCGGCGTGTTATTCACGCATTCAGGATCTGTTTCACGCTCACAAAGGACAAATACGCATGTAATATTGCCTATAATTTAATTTTTTATTGTGATGCTTGGACTGGATAATACGTGTAATTCATATCTAAATACGAGAAAACGTATATGTAATTTAGTGATTGAAATTATATTAAACAAGCGTGCGGAAACTTCGTTAATTATTGTCCATATTTAATCCTTCTGATCGGAATAAAGTTCATCCTCTATTGCCGCCTTCATTGTAAACAAATGCCAACATAAATTCGTTAACAAACGGTCGCAAATGTTAATCTTCATACCTTTTTGGTCGTACGTAGGTGTTAGATTAAAATTGGAACATAAAACTTTACTAAACAAATATTTCGAACGCGCCTGCAT